AAAAAAAACAGATCACCTATAAAAGAAAGCCTATCAGAATCATGGCAGACTTCTCAACACAAACCATCAAGGCAAGAAGAACTTGGAGTGAAGTATTTCAGGTACCGAAAGAAAACAACTTCCAACCCAGATTGGTGCACCCTGCAAAGCTATCTTTCAAATTTAATGGAGAAATAAAATATTTTCATGATAAAGAACAACTGAAGAAATTCATGAGTGCCAAACCAATCCTACAAAGAGTACTAAAAGATATACTAGAAAGAGATAAAACAGACCCCAACTTCAAGAACAACAACAGAAAGGAACCACCAAGCAGAGCAAGCAATTAAACAGAGGAAAAAAGGAGGAAACAATGCAGGAGAATACCATCACAAAGATAAGCCAGTACATATCAGTTATAACCATCAATGTAAATGGTCTCAATGCACCTACCAAAAGATGCAAACTTGCAGAGTGGATTAGGAAACAAAACCCAACTATATGCTGTATACAAGAAACACTTTTAACTCAAAAGGAAATTCATAGACTGAAAATTAAAGGATGGAAAACAATATTCCATGCGACAGGAACCCAGAAAAAAGTGGGTGTAGCTATTCTGTCTGCAGACATCATGAACTTCAAACCAAGAACAATCAAAAGAGATAAGGAAGGTCACCACATACTTGTGAAGGGGAAGCTTCAAGAGGAAGAGATAACGACCCTAAACATCTATGCACCAAATAGGTGCACCCACCTATATAAGACAAATTCTAACAGACATGAAAAAGGAAATAAGTAGCAACACAATCGTAACAGGGAACTTTAACATACCATTGTCACAGAGAGGTAGATCAACTAGACAAAAAAAGGGAAAGAAATAACAGAACTCAACCAAACATGTGAATTTATGGACTTAATAGACTTTTACAGAGTGTTCTACTCAACAGCATCAGAATACACATTCTTCTCAGCTGCACATGGGATGTTCTCTAAAATAGATCATATACTAGTAAATAAAACATGTTTAAGTAAATGCAAAGGAATTGAAATCATCCCATGTATACTATCAGACCACAGTGCAATGACACTGGAAATTAATGACAAAAGAAA